TTATGATCTGTTCAATTTGTGTAAATAAATGATTGCATAGTCTTTTATGAATCAACTTGAACTCGTCTGARMRTTCACTTATTGTGTCACTTTTCACTTTGCACAGTCAAGATATTAACAAGTGATGAGAAACACCTTGGTAAAAATTTCCTCATAACCTTGTGTATGAGAGATGTGGGAGAAGCTTAATACCACCTTAAGCCCCCCTCCTACACAGTTAACCTTCATAGTTTGGTAAACACCAGCACCAAACAATATAACTAACATTACCTGGCATTTACTACAGTGTAGTAATATTCGATTCTGCAAAGTGATTGTTGCTACAGCTGCGCTAAACAAGTACCTGAAGCTGCATGATACGACCATGACCCCTGACCTTTTGACCACCACCAGTCATGTCTCACAACTAACTGAACTTTGACTTTAAAAAGCTTTTTAGAGACAAAATTCTGTTTTAGCTTCAAAATATGACCTTGTAAAGATAAAGCTGACGTGACAAGTCTGTTCTAATCTTTTAAGATTCATCATTTATAAAAAGATTATAAATCATTAACATTTTTGAGACATGACTTTTCTTTTTAAAGGGGACCTAATATGGAAAATTCACTTTATTCAGGTTTCTTTATTTACATTTGGGTCTGTACTGCTTCTAAAAACAGTCCAAGCACCAAAAAAATGCACCCGGAGGTATTTTTACTATAAATAAATGTATTTCTTTGTGTCTTGAAATGAACTGTTCAAAACACCAATGTGACATCACAAACCGTTCACCAACCCACCCCAATCTGAGCCCAGTCCCATCACCTGGTAACCCAAGATGGAGCTTCACCCACTTCCTCACAGGACGAAAGTTTGTTCTACTGTTTTTACAACAGTCATGCAGAACAGAGATGCCTAGATTAATTTTATTTTTAATGGCAATGTTCTAGCAATAGATCCCACAGATCTAAATGCAAATTACAGGTGTGGGGTTACAGTATGTTTAGGACCAAGGTTTAGGTTAGTTTTAGGGTCAGGTACCTGTGATGTTAATTTTAGGGTAAGTGGTCAGGGTTAGGCCATAAAGTCTAATGGAAGTCAATGCACGGTCCCCACGGGGTTGAAGAACAAACGTGTATGTGTGTGTGTGTGTGTGTGTGTGTGTGTGTGTGTGTGTG